TGTCACCATTAGGGAAACAAACACCATTGGTGCATTACTCTTATCTCAACTCTGCATTTCCTTTGGATTTTTCAGTTTTCTCCTTTTTCTGTTCGAGGATCCTACCCAGGCTACCACATTACAGTTAGTCATAGTGTCTCCTTAGGTTCCTCTGGGCCGTGGCAGTTTGTCAGCCTCCCCTTGGTTTTGATGATCTTGACAGTTTTGAGGGGTTCTAATCAGATAACGTGTTGAATGGCCCTCCATGTGGATTTTCCTGCTGTTTTTCTCATGGTTAGGCTGAGGTTTGGAAGACCACAGAGGTGAAGTGCAATGCTCACCTTGTTGCATCCAGGGTAGTGCAATCAGCATAACTTGTCACTGCTGATGCTGACTTGCTCACCCAGGTAGTATTTGCTCAGTTTCTCCACTCTAAGTTTACCTTTTTCCCTCTGTTTCCATACTCTTTGGAAGCAAGTTTCTAAATGCAGCTCACACTCAGGGGATTGAGAGTTAAGCTCCACTGCTTAAGGGGGGAGTATTTACAAAAACTAACCTGAGGAATGTTTCATTAATGGTTCTGTGAAATAAAAGAGAGGGGTCCACGATCAACTTGGAGGTTTGGAAAACACTAAGTGAAATGAAGCTGAACATTTTCTTCACTGCACTCTTTCACTGAGCCTCTATTATACTAACGCACATTATGATCTTCCAACTTGGAATATAGAATGCAGAATTTTGAAAATTTATTTTTAACCATAGGACCTCCCCCCTTTTGTTCTTTTGGTCCCATTGTGATCTAAAAATGCTTTTCAAACCCCATAATTATCTGGGAAGCTATTTTGAAGCATTGACTCTCACTAGATTTAAATTAGTATCTCGAGAGATGGGATCTAGGACTTTGTATCTAAAAAGGCAACTCCCCCAAGTGGTGCTGAGGTATCTGACGCTCAGAAGGTGGGATTCAAACAGGTAGCACTTGCTGGCGAGAGTTCAAGGACCGTAAAGACCTCCAGACTGAACTATTTACCCTTGTTTCATTGATTCAACAAATATCAATGAACCCCAGCACTGAGGATAGAGCAGGGAGGGAGACACACAGTGAATGTCACTGCTCTCAGATAGTTCACATCCTTGAACGGAGAGCTAGATATCTGATGTTTAAACAAGTGAACATATACTAGGTTAGGGGTGATAAGTGCTCTGAAAAAAGGAAAAGCAAGGTGTGTGTGACAAAGAGTGGTATGCTATTTACAAAGAGTTGTCAGGGAAGGGCTCTCTGCTGATGTGACATTTGAACAGATTCCAGAAAGAAGTAGGGTCACGTGGTATGAGGCTATCTGCAGAGGCTTGTATGAGGCAGAGTAAGCAGCAAGTGCAAAGGCCCTGAGGCACGAGTGGGCTTAGCACCAAGGAGCATCATCACTGTCCTGGAGACTTGGACAAGGAAAGGACAAGAAAGCAAAAGAAGATGGGGTGTGCTTAGACTGCACCTATAACAGGAGTCACTGAAGCTTTACACAAAGGATGATACATGGTAAAATCCAATTTTAAGCAAGATGTACTGGCTTTTGGACGCTTTGTGAGAGGATGGGAGGAGGTTGGTATGAGATAAAGGGGTGTTTATCATGAACAGACAAATGAACCAATCTTAACCACAGAGCTACCTAAAAATTTCTGTGGAAATATGCCAGGAAGTCATCAACCAATTAAAGCTTTGGTGAGTATGAAATCCCATTGCATGAAAATAAAATCTGAATTACCTTGCACATGCAAAAATGATTAAGCACACAGCAAGCAGGATTGCCTGAAAGGAGAGCTCTCGCAACAAACTGGTTTCTAATAGAAAGAACAAAAATAAATGAATTAGAAATCGTTGCTGGTTAAATAATCTTGGAATAACAAAATCATACTAAAACTTATCTTCTACACACCAAAAAAGTAGTTTTCAAATGTACTTCAGTTTAAGCAATTTGTCATAAGTAAAAAAAATAATACTACCTAATGTTATACAGGGTCATTCTTCAGAAAATTTCCTCAATTTCTATCGATTTCTTCTATCACTATAAAATAAAAGACTATGCTATTTATACAGTGGGGGATGTCTTTTGCTTTAGCGTTGGGGAAAAGCTTTGTAGAGTTTATGCTAATGTAAGAAATCTCACTCTGATGAAGATTATAACAGTGATAATAATGACTAAAATTTGCAGAGTGCCTTATAATTCACAAAGACCTTTCATACATCAGTTCATTTAATCAGCATAGCAACCCTGTGAGGCAGGTACCATTTTCTTAGTTTTGCAACTGAGAAGACCAAGACTGAGAGAAATGACGAAATTGTCCAAGGTCACACAGCTACGAGGTGTCAGAGCCAAGATTTAAAAACCACATCTAGACGGAACATAATGTTTTGTCTGAAGTGGGGCAAGGATGGGCAATTGCAACTTTGCATACCGGAAGTCTCTAAGGACCAAAAAAGAGAACATATATTATGAAATATTCCTCTTTGCAAAACTCTTTGCAATCAGTAAAATATTTCAGTGCTGTCAAGCCGCAGTAGAAACTACAAATCCTCCAGCAATTATAAAAAGTAAGAGTTAAACCAATCATGAACCTGAGTATTACTCTAATTACCTCAAAGAAATCAGAGCTGGCTTAAGGATTACCACATAAAGACCTAAAGAAGAATATAAACAGACCTCAATTTTTGCCAAATGCTTCAAAAGCTCAATTTCACAACAGTTGTTTAAAACTTGGAATGACTTTATGCTATGAATGCATTTATTTTTGCTATTTATGCTATGAATGAGGATTGAGTCAACGAACAAAACCTAGTTAGTCTACAATGCGGGTGGAATGCCGAAGATTGGCAATTCAAAACATTGCAGTAGTAAATTACGTGACTGCAAATGTATGGTATTTCATGTACACTGTGAACTAAGTGTGTTATTGTGAGTTCAATTGAACACTCAACCACCCTTCTAAAGTATGTTTCCATTCTTAGCCTCTCCCAATTTCATATGGAATTTGGAAAACATTTCCTCATAGAAACAAGCCCAGCTTAAAAAATTGCAAAGAGCACTAGACTTGGATACCAAAGGATGAATGGGTTTAAATTTGAGTTCTACAAAGATATGAGTTGTGTGATTCTGGATGAGTTATTTGCTGATTCCTTCCTACAGTAGCCATTTATTTATGACCTATTGGGGCTCAGCTCAAGTGTAACCTCCTTCAGGAAGCCTACTGTGATTCCTCCAGCTCCTCCCTTGCTCTTTGCGGCTCCTTCCCTGTGCTCTCATTGTACCTTGCTCCTGTCTTCATTAGCTCTCTTTTCACAGTTAAGATTTCTGTGGTGTTTCTCTATATTCCCCCACTAGACTGTAAGCTTGTTGGAAATAGCCATCTATTTCCTGTTCTCTGGGGGCAGTGCCCATATATTCCTTGGGGAATCACCTCTCTCCCTTATCTTTGTTCACAGTTTAGGTGGAGTGATTGATTTCTCTGATTTTCCTCCCAGCATTTGATTCCTTCCAAGCCTTTTGGAGTTTCACATACTTATTGATAAAGTTCTGCCGATATAAATGGGGCACTTCCAGAACCAATGAATCTCAATTCTGGGCCTCTCATCATAAGTTTAGACAGGTATGATCCCTTTCTGCTAAACTGGAACCTGGAAAGGCTGAAAAGTATAGGCACAGAGGCACCAGAACCCACCATGGAGAGACAGCTTTTTAAAAAGCAACATGACACGTAAGAAAAAAGGCAACTAAAGAGACTGACATGATCCTGAACTCTATGCCTGGAATTTTCACTAATATGAGTCAATAAATTTGGCTATTGATTAATCCACTTTGAGATGGGTTTCCATCCATTGGAACTCAAAAAGCTCTGACTGATATAGATGATGTTGTACACGCCTATATGCTTAGCACCTGAAACACACCTGGAACAGAATACACACACAACACCTGCATGTGAAGCACTGAGCTGAGGAGGGAGACCTTGTCCACTCAGGACTTCACAGCCTAGTGAGGAAGAGTAAAAGAAATAGTTTCAATAGAGGTACATACGGAGTGCAAAGGGGTCATGGGAAGTAAAGTGCTGCTGCCTCCACCAGCCGGAAGTTGGCAGAGCTGGCCACGGAGGTGGTGCTATCTAATTTGGGCCTTGAGGAAGAGTAGGAGCCATCCAGGTATAGCAGGTGGGAGAAACATTCCAGACACAGCAAAGAGCGCATATTTGTTCTTACAAAACTATTTTCAAAGAGTACAAAGGCTTATGTGACCTGTCTACATTTCAGTATTCTTATCTGTAAGACAGAGGTAGCACACTTATTAACTGGTCCACCAATAATCTGCCCTGTGCCTAAGTGGGCAGTTTGGAACTCACAGATGACTGCCCTGTAGTGCCCATATTTAAGGAGCTCATGGCCTGATGGGGGAGACATGGAGGTAAACATGCAGTGCAGAGAGTGGGTATGAGAGAGAGGAGCCCTGGAAGCCAGGGCACACCAGGAAGAGTGGGCTTCCTGGAGGAGGTGGCTGTCAAACCATCATAGGCATTGATAACCCAGAAACTATCTAAACAATAAAATCTGCTTTCTCTGTCATCTCAACACCTGGAAAGGGAACTAAAAACAAAACAAAACAAAAAACAGTCTTTACCATCTATCTAGTAGCTATATTGGGGAGAAAAAGATACAGAACATGTTAGTCTTTGGGAGTAGAAGAGTGATGGCCAGTGAAAGGAATATTCATGATGTTGTGAAAGCAAATAAATAGAGAAGATTATTTTTCCATTTAACCTCAATCTTATGTAATAGTAACTTCACATTTATTGAGAATTCAGTAGGCATGACACAGTATGCTAAGTTATTTACATGAGTTATTTCGTCATTACAAGACAAGAACTATGAAGATCTCCATGTAAAGATGAAAATGTTAAGTTTGAGAGAGTTTGGTAAACTGCTTCTGAGTTACAGCTAATGAGTGGAGAGATGGCCTTTGAATCTCGGTTGATGACAAGCTGATGACAGAACTTCGACCTGATGCAACATCACGTCCAAACACGATTAACCTAGTATCAGCAAGCTAGAGATTATGGGCCATGCTTGTTGAACTCATTCCAGATTGACTCCTCACAGAAAATACCAATACCTTTATATCTTTTGACTTTTCCTTGCCAGGGGCATAGCATTAAAGGATGTTCTTTTCTTCTTTGCTTTCTTTCTTTTTCTTCTACTTATGTAGTATGTCAAATACACAGCTAAATATTAAAATAGTAGACACCTATGTACCCTCTACTCTGCTTTATTAAAACCTAACATTTTACCAAATGTTTTCAGGGTTTTTAAAAAATAAAACATCACAGATCCAGTGCACAGATGACACCCAAAGGTAGTCATCCCCTCTGCGAAGGTGGAACGTGGGCTCTGGCAGAGGCCCCGTGTCGTCCCCTCCTCACACAGGTTCATACCAGTTCCTAAGAGTACATTAGTCATCTCTAAGTCATCCTCAGGCCCCGAAAGGAAGGATTCTTTGGGTGTGGCAAAGATTAAAAAAACAAAACAAAACAAAAAAATCTGAACTCACTTGAATAATCCCAAATGTTCTCTTGGAAATGTTCAGATGCCATCAATGGTGATTGAAGAGAGGAATTGTGGGACTTTTCCCTGGGAGGCTGAGATAAGACGTGGCTGGAGGAGAAGGTTACTGCAGTCTCTGCATTTGGCATCTCTGGCTCCCAGGCATCAGTCAGAGAAAAGCAGTCAACATCACCTCCTGGAAAAGCAGAAGGATTCAGTGTGTGTGTGTGTGTGTGTGTGTGCACACTTGTACACATGTGCATGCATGCATGGTGTTCAGTGACTGTTCGATGCATGGTCCCTAATAACCACAACAATAGTAACACTGATATGCTGTTGGAGGAGGATGGGAGAAGGATGTCTGGCTGGGATGGCATTTCAACTGTCCTTATCTTTGAAGGTTGAAGAGAAGTATCTTCAATGCAGAAATAGAGGCCGGAGGCATCCCCAAGTGATGCTGGGGTTGTATGAATGGATTTAAAGGATGTGTAGTGGGTATATGAGCCTCATATCTTTATAGCATCAAACTTCAGAGCAGAGTCAACTCCTTCTTCCACTTCTAATTCATTTATTCATTCATTCAATATTTATTGAATGTGACTATGTATCAGAAACTGACCTAGCTGCTGGGATAAAATGGCAGATTAGACCAAGGTCTCTGCTTTCTTGTGGTTTACATTCTGGTGGGGGTGGGGCAGGGGAGAAATATCTTGTAATTAGTGTCATGAAGGAAATTCTTCCTCTATAAAATACATTGGAATGCTAGACAAAATATAGCAAACATCCATTTATACATATTTTTTCATTCAAAGAGGCTATTTTATACATACATAGTTTCAAGAACATGGGCCCATTTTCTTCTTTGATGGCTCATACATAAATATATTTTACTGGCCCTAAAATTAACCCGATACTCTCTCCCAAAAAAAGTCAAGTTCATTTGAAAAGCATGCATGCAACATCAAGTTTTAAACATGCTAAGATAACTCCTAGTGAAAACTGATGTCTTCAATGTGAGGTCACCAAAGAATGATATTTAATCCTTGATTCTTGACTTGGGTCAGGAATTAAAGGGTCCACAACTCCCCAAGCTAAAGCTTTATTGGAAAGGATGAATTGTTAAAAATGTCTTTCAACTACAGGGAAAGTTAAGCACTGTACCTCTGACCCAACCACTGGTAGTCTCGCATTTGGTTCATCTGGAATAAATATGCCTACAAATTCTCTTGGTTCTCTCCTTGGTGATTTGTGTGATATCCACTCAAGGTTTAACTTTGCTCTTATGGCCTTTAGTTAATAATTTGAGCCAGTTTAGAGCTCGCTGACTTGGAGGCAAAGCCACTCAGAAAGAGTAGCCAGAAGTCCTGCCTTGGGATGTAGGTGTTTCCTAGCCTGGCATCTTAAAGATGGCACATACCCATCAAATGTTTTTTAACTCTGTAACTGAGCTCAAAAGAAGGGGATAGTCCCAGAGGCCATGGCTAGGAAACCCAGAACTTTAAACATGAACTGTAGCTAGGGTGGCCCTGATGGGTGGAGAGGGGGACTTAGAGAAGCCATAGTAACCAGAGGGCTGTGGTTTAAATG